TGATGTGAATGGAAGGGGAGAGGGAGTGGGAAAGGGGAGGATTGCAGGTGGGAGGAACGTTATGGGCGGGGGAAGCCATTGTAATCCATAAGCTGTACTTTGGAAATTTATATTCATTAAATAAAAGCTAAAAAAAAAATGGCTCCTGATCCTAAGGCTCTCTGGGTCTGTTTTGGTGCAAAGATGGATGCAGAGGAAATACAGGAGGAAATACAAGATAATTTTCAATTCTCACACTACTAGAGTTTTAATGATCTGTGATTATTTTAAAATTTGCAGTATTTGAGTGAAATTGACAACTTTTCATTTGATTATTGTCCATAACCCTTGCCTATATTCCTGCTGAAGTATGATCTTTTTACTTTTTACATGTTAAACTCTTTATTCAGTGGATCATTAAGCCTTTGATTATATTGTCAATTAAAAACATGTCATCTTAAAAATTAGAGAAATGAAGGAAGGAACATAGGAAGAAAGGAAGGAAGGAAGAAAGGAAGGAAGATAGGAAAGAAGGAAAGAAGGAAGGAAGGAAGTAGTATCATTATATTCTTAGAATTGTACCTATGAACTACATTGAATCTGTTCCCTATATAAAATCACATTAAAATGAGAGTTGATGAGAATTGTGTTGTAGTAATTATCATGCATTTACTGTAACTCCAAGAATCTAATGTATTAGTAAATTCCTTAAATAAAAAGATATCTTGGTGTGAAAGTGTTTTAAATCTTTGCACATTTTTTCATAATATGCATCTTCCAGAAACTTTTTAAGACACCCTTGTATGCACAGATTTCAAGAAAGTTTACACTAAATTAAATTTATCATTTAATTAGTTTTCATGAACTTTTTGAGTTACCCTAATAGGTAGATAGATATGTGGTAGATGGATAGATGTGGATATACTCTGTGGCAAAATAACTTCTTTTTTTTTTTTAATTAGTAATTTTCCTTTCATTTGAAAGGATGGGGGCAGAGGGGCACAGTGAGACAGAGAAAGATCTTCCAGCTGCTGGTTCAGTCCTCGCATCAGCCAGAGCTAGCCCAGGCTGTAGTTAGGACCCCAGAATTCAACTCGGGTTTCAAATGTGGGTTTCAGGGAGCCAAGGATGTGAGCCATCACCTGCTGTCTCACAGGGTCTGCATTCGTAGGAAGCCGGATCAGAAGCAGAGTAGCTGAGACTCAAACCAGGCTCTCTGAGAGGGATTGTGGGTGCACCAAGCACTGTCTTAACTGCTGAGCCAAGTACCTACCAGTAGCTTGTTAATTTGTAAGTGGGGTAACATCTTAGGCTCTGTGTACTTTCAGACTTGGCATTATTTTATAAGCCTATTAGTTATTTATAATTTGTAGAGTTACAAAATCACCCAAAAGCCATGAAAACCTCAGAGCCGTGATAGAGCCAGAATAAGATAACCTGGAAATTTGTGCTCTAATCTAGACAGTGCTTTGTCCTAATTCATTCATTCATCTATTTATCCGATCATTTCTTCAACACATATCTTCTACATGTTGTGCCAAGCCCATGCATAGGTGCTGGAGATATGGTGGTTGGCATATCACAGGCTATCACCGTTCTCATAATGGAAAAGACAGATCCCCAAATATTGAAGCACAATCTGTGATGGAGTCTGTATCTTTTGTGGTTGTTCTTTGTAGACTGTGTGTTCAGAAACACACACAGTCACACCTGAAACAACAGCAAAGACTGTAGGTTGAGTGTGTTCAGATGTTCCCCTGTAAATCAAATGCAGGAAATATGGCGCCTGGGTAAAGGATTCCAGTTTCCATTGTTCAGAATCAATGGTGGTGATTTCATTGTGTCTGCTTTGCTCTGGATGTCGAGATGGTCTGATAAGGGTGGTGTCTGTTTAACCTCATAACTCACAGCACTTTGTGTCAGAAAAATAAAATCTCTCATAGATACTCTCATACTATTGGAATATGTTAGAATTTCGAAGGCAACTGTGGGGAGCAACTCGGACTAGACTGTTACTCGAATTAAGACTTATTCTATGCATCTGCTCTCCCACAATATGGCGCTGGGAGAGGAGTAAACAGCTTCTACGCAGCTGCCTCTCGCCAACTTGAGTGATGACCTGCAGGAGCTGATCCTGCTCCTGATTGGAGGAGAGCAGCATACTCGCGTGTGGGTAGCAGAGTTGGGATTGGTGGAAGAGGACTCTAAAGGAGGAGAGAGACAACATGCACCAGGAACATCTATCTGAAGGAACACCTGTGCAGCCCCCGAGAGAGCCGGCCGGCGGTGTGCCGCTCCCCCGCGGAAGTGGGGAAAGTGGCAGGGGGAACCGCCCTTCCACGGAGGTGGAAGGGTCGGTAGCCAACCTGGGAAGAACCAGCAGCAAACCCGGGGAGGGCCGAGCAGACGAAAGAACAGCGCAGGGTCCTGTGTCGTTCCTCCGCGAAGAGGGGGAGCGACAGGCAACATTTATAGGAGCTGCCCTTGAATGCTTGCCATGCACTGGCTGAACTCCTAAACATCTTGAAAACCCTCTGGGATCATGTATTAGTGGGGACCCAATAGATACTCAACCACGGGGTAGTTCATCTCTGTGACTGAGAGGTGTAGGTACCAAAAGGCTGCGGACAGATTTACCGTCCTGCACTTTGTGTAGCCAATAAACTAGAGTTGAGTTTCTTCATGTATGCCATTGGTTTACCCCAAGATAAGGTGAGCAATAAAAGCACAATCCAGCAGAAGCTTGGCTGACAGATTGGCCTGGTTTCTAACAAACTTACACTTACAATAGCCGTGGTTGAGTTGGCTAAAATTCCAGAGTCTTAGACCTATGTATTGCCCAGTACTGCCATTTTCTTTTTCAGATTTGGAAACAGGCTCAGGTGTTACCTGACTTTGCTAAGCGCAGATCTGTGCAAGAACTACAACTCAGATCTCCTCCACTGTCCCGCTGGCCTCCTCCAAGCTCATTAGCTTGTAGACCATGTTCTTTTTGACAAAAGCGTTCTACTGACAAAGCTTTGTGGCCAACAGACATGCCAGGGGGAAAGTGAAAATAACACTTCTTGTTTCACCCAAAAATAATGAAGGGAGTAATGGGAGGCAATAAGGCTGTCACTTTTGGCCTCTGCTTCATTTAGCCAGCCTCTCTGTTCAAAACTCTGATGCCTGGAGAGAGGCAGCCGTGACATTTTTCAAAGTGTAACTCCTTGTCCTGTTTTGAATGTTGATCCATTTTAATGTATTAACTAAAAAAGGAGGGGTGAATTCTACCAGCTGTTACTGTTTTCTTCCAATTTGGAGTATCTTTGACACACAAGAGTAATGTGACTTAACAGCAAATATTTAGTCGAGTTTTGACTACTTGCAATCTGTTTCTTACATGTTATATCGCAGGTCTTTTGATTAATTTGTTCTTGTGCCTGCATATATCATGGTAAATACAGTTTGAAGCTTAGTGCTGGGTGAGTTGAAGGATAGGTTCAATATGCCTATCTTCTGTTATAAACACTGTGGGGTTCTAATTTTAATTCAGTGGTTTTAGTCATTGATAAAGTGGAAATGTTTATGGACATTCAGATTCCAATAGTGATATCTCTAATGGATACTTTAATTTTTGTGTTAGTTGAGTTGCAGAGCTTTGGACAGAAGTGTTCAGTTCAAAAGAGTAGCTTCCTACTGTATTACTTGATTATGCAGATCACATGCTACCAAAATAAATACTGGCAAATTTGATTTAAAAAGTTAGTTGTGTATTCATAATTAAATGTTGATTAAAAATACACACACACATACACACATATTACACATTTTGACTTTCTTGTTTGCTGGTAAAATGAATATTTTAAAAAGATTTATTTATTTATTTGAAAAGTGGAGTCAGAGATAGACAGAGAGAGATCTTCCATCTGCTGCTTCACTCCCCAAATGGCTGCAGTAGTCAGGACTGGGCCAGGCCAAAGCCAGGAACCAAGAGCTTCATGTGGGTGTCCCACATGGGTGGCAAGGCCCAAGCTCTAGGGCCATCTTCTGCTACTTTTACAGGTACACTAGCAGGAGCTGGGTAAGAAGTGGAGCAGGTGGTACTTGAACCAGCACTATACTGGTGTCACAGGCAGTGGTTTAACCGGCTGTACCACAATACCAGCCTCAAAATGAATAGCTTATAAGAGTAGAAAAATCATTGTTGGTGTCAGCATTGTGGCATGAATGGCGAAGCCACCATATGAGTGTGGCTACGTGTCCCGGCTGTTTCACTTCCAGTCCAGCTTCCTACTAATGGCCTGGGAAAAGCAGCACTAGTGGCCCAAGTATTTGGGCCCTACCACCCATGTGGGAGATCTGGATGAAGCTCTTGGCTTGCATGTGGCCCATCCCTGGCCATTGCAACCATCTGGGGAGTGAACCAGGGAATAGAAGATCCCTTTTTCTCTGTCTCTTCCTCTCTCTCTATAACTGCAACTTTCAAATAAAAAAAATAATAATTTTTTAAAAAAGAAAAAATCAAAAATCAGTGCTTACATTATATAACATAAAATATGTCACTAATTACAATATGTACTTTTTTATATGTTGTAACTTCAGTGAATTCTCAGTACCTCAACAGTCAATAGTGTTTTAGAATTGTAATAGCATTTTTTTTTCCTAAAGGAAGGAAAATAAAATTATTATGCATCTTTAAAAGATAGGATATCAGATTCAGTGAAATGTGATCTATCCCCAAAATTTAACAACCAGTTATGCTAATATTTTTCATCATAAATACTCTTACTAAATTCTATGAAAGGAGAAAATAAAATCTCTGCAATGCATGGTACTAGTATACTTTTCTGGGAAAAGAATCAGTTTACTGAAGTTTAAAATTTTAAGACTCCATTTGTGTTGATTCTATCTCTCAGAGAGGTTTGATGACTAGAAGAATTTGACTCCGATGAGAGGTGATTTTGATTTTCTTTATTTATTTTAACTTTTGCAGACTAGTGATGGTCTCCTCTCTTTCTTCCCCCATTTCTGCATACAAGAAACTGCCTGGACCGTCATCCAGCACAATGGTTCTGACTTAACGAGAGTCAGAAACGCTAATCCAGAGAACCCACATGCTGGGGTTTTCGGGTACGTGGCCAGCATGGAGCAACTCCAGGCCACCATTAGCCGTGCGGAGCATTGCGAGCAGGAGGTCACTTACTACTGCAGGAAGTCCCGGCTCTCCAGCAAGCAAGGTGAGTAAGGGAGGCGTCTCCCAGGGTGCATGTGTTCCCGGCTTCCTGCTCCCTGCTCCTGGAGGTTTCATTTCGCCAAGGTGATGGAACACAGCGGCTAAGTGCCCGTGTCCTTAGCAAAGGTGCCAGTCGGGAAATCACAGGGATGCTTTTGCCTAAAGAAAAGAGCAGGGTCAATTTGCACAGAGAGAGCTTGGCTCAAAGCCTTGATTGCTTTCAGAGTCACCTCCTGACCTTCATCGGCTGTCTACGGTGAGGGCTTCATTCTGATACGTGCAGAATGCTCGGTATTTATCCCTTTAAAGGGCAGGTGACACATATGGTTTATTCTCATCATAGAAAAGAGCTAATAAAAATGTGACTGTGTTTTCTGAAAGGGACTCTATTTGCATGAGTGGTTGACAGTTAGCCTCTGGGTAGAGCTGAAAATTAAAAAGGCTGCTGGTAGCCCAGCTAAGTCCGTGGCTCAAGTAGAAATCAGAAAATCATCTTAGCTGTTCCTGCTCTTGTACTGTTAGTAACCAGTCTGCTCCTAGTCTGCTTTTGGTTTTCTGTTTTTTCCCTTTAGAGCATCTAATTATGCCAGACTCTTTCCATTCCCACCACTTTTGCCTTAGAATAAGCTTTCAGGACCTAATTTTTGCGGTCACATATGCTCTTTCCCACCCTGGTTTGCCATCTCTTTATATGTCATAACCATCCGTTAGGTGATCCAACTTATTAATCTCTATGAAGAAAATTCCCCTGTAAGAAACGCTGTCTCCATGGTGACACTTAGGCTCCTCACGGGTGCCTTTGTGTTTCTCGTCTGTCCGTGCCGACTCTTCTGCCTGGGCTCCGGAACCAGAGATTCTGAGCCCACCCGGCTTCTGCAGCCTACACGTACTCCCAACACGCTGGCTTCGAGGAGCGGTGTTGAGATGCGTGTTCCTTTAGAAATCAGCCACCTGCATAAGAAAGCCACCTCATCAGTGTTCACTCCTGCTTGTTGTCCTCACAGGGGTGGAGCTCCAGATAGGGGGACAAGAATTTAAAAAGGAATGTCTCACCTGTGAATGTTGTGTGCATGGGTCATGCACAGAAATGTTGAACCTTGGTCTGTTGTTTGTGACGCTCATTTTCAATTAAACTCCTTCTCCTGTTTACTCTCCACCCACTAAACACAGCCCCATTGTTTTCTCCCTGTGCCTGAGGTCTCCCCCCTCCCGACACCTTGTCCTCGTCCTCATCTTCTTTTTCATTCTCCTCTTTCCCATCTTTCTTTTCAGAATGCTCTCCTTTGGTCTTGGACCTCACTGCTCCCATCTTGTGTCCTCCTGGTACCCCAATCACGTCTTTGAACAAGGACCAGACACTTGCAGTATAAAGAACATAGGATTTACAATGGGGAGAGGGCGAAGTTCAAATTCCAGGTCTCAGCGACTAGGTAGAGGCTTCTATAGCTCAATCTTTGATTCATGAAATGGAAGGACACTGGATCTCATTTCTTACTGTTTCTTCTCTGAAATGCGGCCAATTATGTCAGCCTCACGGGGTTGCAGTGATGTTGGACGATGTCATACACACAAAGTACAGGAACTGAGCCCCTCTCACTTGGGGCTGTCCATGGTACAGTGCTTTATAGTTAACATACCCAGTTTACCACAGAAGCAATGCTCATTGTTGTTCCATTCTTCTTGGAGTGTAAAAAACAAAACAATAAAAGATCAGCAAATCTAGATGTGCCTTCCAGGAAGAATAAGAATGATAATTACGGAAGGCTAAATGAACGCTGTGGAGCAAAGTGAATGAACTGAGTTGTTTATAAAAAGGGGTGTGTGAGCCGGTGCCGCGGCTCACTAGGCTAATCCTCTGCCTTGCGGTGCCGGCACACCGGGTTCTAGTTCCGGTCGGGGCGCCGGATTCTGTCCTGGTTGCCCCTCTTCCAGGCCAGCTCTCTGCTGTGGCCAGGGAGTGCAGTGGAGGATGGCCCAAGTGCTTGGGCCCTGCACCCCATGGGAAACCAGGAGAAGCACCTGGCTCCTGCCATCAGATCAGCACGGTGCGCCGGCTGCAGCGCGCTGGCCACAGCGGCCATTGGAGGGTGAACCAGCGGCAAAGGAAGACCTTTCTCTCTGTCTCTCTCTCTCACTGTCCACTCTGTCAAAAAAAAAAAAAAAGGGTGTGTGTGACATTGGTCTTTGGGGTCTGGCTTCTTTCACTCCGCTTAATGTCTTCTGTTTATTGATACGGTCACAAATAGCAGGATTTCCTGCTTTTTAATTGATAAAAATGATATTCCATTGTGTATACATATCTGTTTTCTTTATCCACTCATCTGTCAGTGTATGCAGGTTAGTTCTGTTTATCGGCTGCCATGAACACGAGAGTGCAGCTGTCTGCCGGCGACAGTGGAGGACCGGGTACTGTGAAATCAGCCAGACATAAACCAGCACTGCACGATCCCACGCAGCTGAGAGGGCTTCAGAAAGTCCTGGAGAGGTCGCAGTGTTTAGTTTTAAATTTTAATTATTTATTTGAAAGAAACAGAGGTACAGTCCGACAAAGTGTTCACTGGTTTTCCAAATGCCTGCTCTGGCTGGGTGCTGTGTGGAGTGAGGAATGCAGTGTAGGTCCCCCAGGTGGTCGGCAGAAACCCAGTCACTTGAGTCGTCACTGCTGCCTCCGAAGGTCTTCATTATCAAGAAGCTGGAGTCCAGAGCCAGAGCCAAGTATGGAATCCCGGTTCTCCAGTACGGCATGTGGGCACCTTGGCTGCTAGGCTAAATGCCCACCTCCTGTTCAAACTCTTCAGTATGCTTCACAAAGTCTTGGGTGAACCCAAGGTGTTTGGAGTCTTTAAATCATCCAATGATTTCTATTTTCAAAAGAAGATAGGAAACAGATTTGAAAATATGGTCAGTACCTAGGACTAATTTATTTCCCCTTTTATCTCTGAATACATAATGTTTTAAGCAATGTATCGAAATGTATCTATTAAATGTTTCAAGCAGGTTTCATCTTCGAGTGATAAGTTAGTTATGTAAATAGGAAAGATAATGAAGATCCTTGCCATTTATATCTTTATGCACAATACATACTTCCAATGACATTTTTCTCTTTCTGTAAGGCCACCACAAAACACACCAAACACCGGAGTAAGGAAAAGAGTTTATTTGATGGAGGAAATCGACAGGTTGGAGGGAAGGGGTGTAGAAGCAAGAGGGTGTATGAGAAGCAGGTCCTAGGGGGCAGGCAAGGAAGTAGGAATAGTGAATCCTATTAGAGTGGGGGTGCAGCTGACACCCGTGATTTGGCTATGGGGCTTAGGACGGAAGCCTACTGTACAAGATGGCAACAGGGGCCAGGGCCCAAGATGGCGTCCAGGGCATAAATGGAGTCGCATAGAAGATGGCACCATTTTACTAACACTTTCTTTTTGACATGGTTGCACTGTCTTGTGTAGTAATGTTGGGAGGGAGGTTATTAGCGTCAGCAAAAGGGCTACATAATAGTAAGTTCAAATGAGAAGTGACATTTGGAAAGGAGAGAAAATTAGTGAAAATCCGAGATTCTCAGTGGGGCTGATGGTGACAACTTCAAGATTTGAAAGGCAACAGAAAAATGATCAAGTACCTTTGAGGAGCTGAATGACTTGGTGTCACTTGCATTGTTTTCAAGCCTTGATCCCTCAAGGACCATGATTTTCTCTCTTTTCTGTGTCCTCACCCCCAAGACAGATCGTCTGGGTGCCTTATCCCGCTCTCTAAAAGCTTCGCCTAAGCGTCGTGGCTGCTCTCTGCTCCAGTTTCTTGGCATCCTGTTTAGTCGCACTCTGTGAAGTAGCTGGTTGCTGCACATTTACTTTGGAAAGACATGCATTTGGCTAAAGCAAAGTTTATTTTTCCTTGAGTGAAATATTTGCTCCAGGCATAAAGATTTTTCAGTGTTATTTCTGTATTCTCCAAATAAATGGCCAATATATTAAATGGAAGAGAAAATTCAGACTTCCAAATAAATCTTAAACTATGACAAGGGAATGCCATATCATGCTAAATGTCTAATATCAGCTAGTATATTTGTAGCTAATAAACACATTAAAATAAATCACTGACATTACATAATATTTCATGTTTTAATGAGCGTTTTAGGATTCCAAATCATTTTTGCTTTGTTGTGCTAATTAATGAGGTGTATATTTTGATGCCGACTTGTTTTCAAAATTATTTCCAAGACATTGTCTATATGAAGTACTACAATGCCTTCTTTTACTATCATGCTTAAATTAAATAGTAGGTGCAAATTTCTTTTCTACTTTAAGAAAAATATGTCAATCACATACGCTGAAATAATAATTTCTTTAGAAAAAGATTTCTTAAAGAAATGTCATCAGTTCTAGTTTAGCATATCATTATATCAAATCAGCCTTGCTCTCCTTTCTTCTTTTATTCTTTTTAGTGATTTAGGAAGAAAAGAAATTGTCCTGGAGTGGAAGGCATTGAAGTTTCTGGCAGCTGTCACACTTCTCACCCTTGTCTTTCAGGTGGAGTCCCTCTGAGCTGGTGGGTCGGAAGAACCAATGAAACACACACGTACTGGGGAGGTTCTGCGCCTGATGTTCACAAATGCACCTGTGGTTTAGAGGGAGCCTGCATCGATTCTCAGTATCACTGCAATTGTGACGCTGACCGCAATGAATGGTGATTCTCCTGTGATTTCTTAAATTAAGGAAGCAAAGTGTATATAAAGGCAGATGCTGAATAAGTTAGTTCAGAGAAGAAACCAGATAAATGCGTATTTTGATAAAATGTAGCATAATCAGTCTAAAGCATTTTGATCAATGTCTTTTAAAATTATGTTTCCTTATAATGGACCAAAAGTTACGTAAATTTTATTTTTCTAGTATGATTAAATAGTGGAGTCAATTACATGGGATGTCAATTGTCATTAACTTTAAAATTATATATAGTTAGCCATTCTATTATTTTCAAAATATAATCAACAAAACACATTTCCTAAATAATCTGCCTACAGAAACTTTAAACATAGCAACTTAGAAGTTCTCACAATTATTTTAACAAGTTACTCTTTTATTTTTTAAAGGATCATTTTTTTAAAGTGAATATCAGCAACACTTCAGAAACTTAAAAATTGAACTTAAAATATTCTTTTATGCAGAGAAGTCTTATGCATGTGTTCTTCATCTGTAAACATCTTGTGATACTGTATTTGGGACTAGAGTTGGCATATTTGCTGCTCTTATTATTTGTAAGGTGAAAATAGTTTTAAATATTCATATTCACATTTTAGCATGTCATATGTTTATCTTACATTGCTAAGCATCTGGACTTTTGCAGAATTACTTTTTTAAAGTATTAATATTAATCAGACTATAAATATGATTGGTTTGGTTATAAAAAGTACATTAACTCCAGTGATCAGTCTGCTGTTAAAGGAGTTCACATTTCTCCTTGTGATATCTCATGTATTTACTTGAAAAAACATCAAGATGATGTCATACGTTTGTTTTATATTATATATATACACATATATAAACTTTGAATACTATAAGATAAAATGTCTATTGGAGTCAGTATGGAGTCATGATTGAAATTTCAGTGTGACATTCTGGGTATAAAGAATATTGTCTCTCTTGCTCTAATTTTACAATTTCGATTCCCTTTGGTAGGCACCATTTTTTTTCCTTACTAATCTCACAAAAATGCCTATGTGGTAATATTATATTTTAAACCAAAGAAAATGGCAATAGAAATGCAAATTAGGAAGACATTGTGGAGACCAGTGTGGAGGATCCTCAAAATCTGAAAATAGTTAGAGCAGATGCCCCATGACACAGAAACTCCTCTTCTCAGTATGTAACTGAAGGAAATGAAACCGGCTTATGAAAGAGATGCCTGCACTCCCGTGTTCACTGAAGCACTCTTCACAGTAGCCAACATTAGGAATTCACCTAAGTGTCCATTGCTGTGTGGGGGTTAAAGGAAATGTAGTTTAAATGTACACTGGAGTAGCTGCTGTAAGAAAGAATGAAATCCTGATATTTTCAGCAAAATGTATGGAACTGGAAGTCTCTATGGCCACATACCCTCTCTTATATGTGGAGGTAACAAAGAAATGCTACTTGAACTTAAAATAGTGATTACTAGAGACTGAGAAGGGTAGGGAGATAAAGGATAAAGAGAGGTTTTATAATAGGAAATGGTTAGGTAAAAATAATAAAATGCAGTGTTCTGCAGCATCATGTTGTGCTGGGGGAACTACAATCCACAGTCATGTATTGTATTCTACATGCAGGACTGGAAGAGAGGAGCTGATAGGCTCCAAACACCTAGGAAGGGTAAGGAAATGGGCACGCTAGTTGTATAGTTTGGTTGTTTTTCACTCTGTGATTGTGTTGAAATGTTGCATTGTCTGCTATAAGAATACAAGTATTACATGTTACAAATTAAAATTCAAAAAATAAGGAAAATGTTAGAAATTAGTAGTGCACTTGAAATAAGTTTGCTATAGCTAAGATCAACTAACAAATATATTAAAATTCTATTATGTCAGAGTAAAAAATGTGAAAGCATATGTCCAAACAAATGAACTCCAATTAAAATAAGAAAAAGCAGTTATCACAGATGCTGGGGCATTGATGTTTGAATTAGCAGACCAATACTTTGAAGCAACTATCATAAATACTTTTGAAGATTTCAAGGTAAAAATAATCACAATGAGTGAACAGAGTACTTTAAGCATAAATAAGAGCTGAATTAAAGAACCACATGTTAATTATAGAATAGAAATGAAAAATTCTAATGGGGATTCTTCCGGGCAGAGGATCACAGCACCAGATAAAAACTCCGATCTTCAAGAAAGAATTCAAGAGCACTGCATATTGTAAAGATGTTGGTAAATATAAAAACCAGTTTTTATGTTCTCTTAATTTAAAATTGTCACATTTACTGCTTAATTGTATTGTGACATTTATAGCAAATGAATTTAAAATATATCACAACAGTAGCATGAAGAACAAGTATGTGAGTGTGCATGCGTGGGATATTAAATGAGTTATCCTGTAGCAGCTACTGACATTTAATATTGTTATACAACATAAAAAATAAGTACACTGTGATAAACTAAGGATGTGTTTTTAATACACAGACCAACCATTAAAATATGGTGCACAGTACATTAAAGAAATATTAACCATTTGAAGAGGCAACTATATTCACCCTGATTGGACCAATGCATACATGTAATGAAACTCATGTAGTACCCCATAAATATGTACATTTTTATACACCTATTAACATTTAAAAATGTTAAAAAGATAAATTTCTAAACAGCGAGTAGCTAAAATAAAATTGAATTTAAACAATGGAGTAAGCCAAGAGGAGATGGCGTAAGAGGAGCAAAATATGAAAAATCAAATGGGGAAAAATATAATAAGAAAAAAAAAGCAAAATGATGGAGCTAAAAATGCAATATCAGTCATTTTGCTAAATGTTGATGGATTAAGCATTGCAGTCAAAAGGAAGGAAATGGCTGACTGAATTTAAAAATCCTCAACTATATTCTAATTTTAACATGAGCTATGACTCATCTTCTAGACTTTAGCATCTACAAGAGACATGAAAATGTTGCCATCTTTTCATTTGCCCAGATGAGCAAGTAGAACTCTACCCTTTCACGTCTACCGATTTTGTTCCAATAGCCTGCTTTTGAAATGCCATAACAGTTATTATGTGTTTTATGATTGTTGATTAGAGTGATTTTTAGACTTTTGCTGTTGCTTCCGTTTTTTAGGACCAATGACACCGGATTCCTTTCTTACAAAGAACACCTGCCCGTAACTAGGATTGTGGTCACAGACACAAACCGGCCACATTCAGAAGCTGCTTACAAGCTGGGGCCTCTGCTCTGCCGGGGAGACAGTAAGTGGTCTCAGTGTGCTAGACTCACCTCAGGAAGTCGTGTCCATAGACAGGAAGTGGTCACTGTGCTGTGGACATATCCCTGGGAAACCATCTCACCGGACAGGAAGTGGTGAGAGTGTGCTGTGGTGTGACTGTGACTCTCAGGGTATTCAGCATCAAGTTCCCATCAGGCATAACTGATCAGAGTCCTATTGTGAAAACTCATAGGTAAGGTCTGAACTATTCTTTTAGTCAGTCAACAAACGAGTGTTTGCATGAAGTGCAAAGCCTGTGATAGATCCCATGATGGCAAACCTGTTAAGATTCTGAGAGAAGGAAACCACTGGATATCTCAGTTTGATACATTAAATACGTTCCAGGGTTCCTCAGTTTCCATCGTCATTCACATAGCAAAGCCTGAATACTACAAAAAATCATTAAGGAGTCACATGAATCTCCTACTGTTAGAACTGGGGTGAAATTAGCGCATCAATGACATCAAATGTTGATTGAACCAAGCATATTTCAACTTGTAATCTCATTTTTTCTCAGTTTGCTTGGATGTTTATTTGTGTTTTATACTAATGGGACTTACTGCTTTGTATGTTAAGTATATTAACACTCTAAACTAGACTTTTAAAATTCAGATATAATTCCATAATATACAAAGGTATATAAATATATACATGCTATGTGTGTGCGTGTGTGCTTTCATTGAGGAGTGAAATGAGCATATGTATGCATTCACAGATTGCTAACCTTTCTGAAATTAGTTCTGTTAGATGCAGCTGTATTCATTATGCACACTTTTCATATTGCTAAAAGTTAACATGGAAATGGAAATAGAAGAAATATTTGTTTACGTTAAAAGCATCCCCTGAAATAAAATTTTATCCCACAGTCTCCACAGAAGAAAAAGAAGTCTGGTAATTCAGTGGATTTAGAAAGATACATAGCAGAAATTGCTTGGTTAAAAAGCAAAGATGGTACTGCCTATAAACAATCATACACTTTGTAAAAAACCGTCTCCCATTAATAGCCAGCATCCCTGATGTGTATCTTCTCTACTCCCTCTTCTGCCCGTAAGCCTTCCATAACTGCATGAAGATGACATAGAATGCTTCATGGAGAGGAAAAAGAAGTGCAGAGAAGAGGTTGTAAGTTAAGATGCATCCCGAGGGGTGTGATGGATTTTCATGGCTCTGGAGAAGCTCTGTGCATCTCGTGCACCTTGTAGTGCCTGTTCTGAATTTAACCCTGCAGAGACCCAGGCTACCTTCCCTTGTCCTCAGTTTCTCACAATTCTTGGGAATTCATCTTCTCTGACTGGAGTCACTACGACTCTTTTCCTTATGGGATTCTCTCTCCAAGACTTCCCGCCCTCATATTAAGCACACTGTCATTTCACTTGGCCCAGTGACTCTCTGCCAAGCAACCATGGCCGCTCCCCACATGTGGCCTGGAGACGAGGTGTGGAGATGCTTTTGGTTTTCACAGTTGTGGAGAGTAGGCTGCTCCTTGCCTCCCAGGGGAGAAGCCATGGCTGCTGCTGCACCTCCTGCAGTGCCTGAGATAGCCTTCTACCGTGAAGGAGAAACTGACCCAGTGTGTCGGTAGTGCTGCCCTTGGGAGCCTGTAACATTGACCTCTTCTGATCATGGGCATTCAGAGGAAGGCAACACTGGCAGTAAGAATTTTCAAAGACTGTCCATTATTTAGAGAGCTGCTAATTAACCTCTGACTTCTTAACTGAACAGCCATGGAGAAGTTGCCTTCTTGTCTCCTGCATCTACTTTTTAAGTTGGGTTCCTCTACACAAGAGGCCATAAGGGCTCTTTTCTGCATGGAGGGCTCTTTTTTTTTCAGTCAGAACATCCATGGCTTTGGAACAACAAATGCTCCCTTTCTATGAATGGGAAATGTGTACCCTATAAGCTGAGCAATCTGTATCCTTGACACACTGTCATTGTTTTCCCCGACTGGTGTGTACTGGCAAGATTCAGGGCATACGGGAACAGGTTCATGCACAGCGGACCTTAGAAGCAGAGAAAAGTTACTTAGACATCATCCTGCAACATCAAGACTGGATATTCAATAATTTAAGGCTGAGAAATAACTCGCATGCTTCAACTGAGAGCCTGAAGATCAATTACAAACCTAAAGACCAATAGGGTGACCTTTGTGATAAGACAAAGAAAAATGAAGAATGCTTGGACTGGGCAATGGTTGGTGCAGGACTTAGAGAAAGGGCTCGGTTAAAGAGGTAAATTCAATGCAAGTTAGAAGGAAGGTTAAGAATGGTCATGTTTTTTGAATAAAACTGTTGATGCTATCCATGGAGACAAGAGATTGAGACATTTTTTGGACAGAAAAATGCAAAGATGAGAAAAAATATTTTAAATGTTATCACACAAACTAGAAATGTAGGAAAATTTCTCTCTAGCCACATTTTTCAGGGGCAGAGGAGAGAGGCTTTGGAAAAACAGCAGGACCAATAAAAAACTAATATGAGACCTGGTGAGCTTATCTATAATTAATTGATATTGTCTTTCTCCAAATCCTTATTTCCATTTTGTTTTTGACATAGATGGATCTGAATTCTGTGTTACTGCTGCTATTTTTGGTGATGTCAGAAGTTGTAGATAACATAGATGTTTTATCAAAAATCTAAAAGATATGAATGGTAAAGTTGTCTTTCAAAGTTCTATTGCAAACACAAAACTTTTTATATCTCATTACCCATAATTAAGTTTTTTGTGAAACGGAAATAAATCTTATGAATAGGTATGTGTAATGTAGGCAATGGGACTAAAATCTTATGTAGAATAAAAACTAGGCAAATTAAGAAGAAATCTTCCTCAGTGTTTTAAAGGGCATCCATGAAAATGTGATTGCTAATGTGATGAAGAGTAGTCAAAGACTAAATGCTTTTTCTCTGAGATCAGGTTCAAGGCAAGAATATCTGTGCTTAGAACTCCTAGTGAACATAACATTGGTAGTCCTGGCACATGTAAGAAGTCAATTTAATTCACAGAGGTCACAAGGGAACAAAATGTTTCTGTTCAGAAACATGAATAGAGATCAAATGACATACCAAATGACAAAAAAAGTTATAGGACATAAGATAACTATTTAAAAAGTAAATAATACTTCTGTATATTAATGATAAAAACTTGATGTTGCCATGGATTCGTTCTGAGAGGAGGAGCGTGGTGGGGGCAAGAAGCACGGAGTCACCACACAGACCCCGGGAGTCGGGTGAAAGCGAGCCAGAGGCGAGCAGCCCGCAGACTCGTTTATTTCAGTTCGTACAGCAGCTTAAATAGCCAAGGCAGCCAATCCTGTCAGGGGGCGGTTTATGCCCTAACCAATCACAGCCTGTTGCCAGGCAGGCTCCGTTACCATGTGATTTCTAAAGCCATCCAATCACAGTCTGTTGCCAGGCAGGCTCCATTACCAGGTGGGTTTCAGAGCCTTTCCTGAGTAACTGACCCTCGCTTGCCAGTGGCCATCTTGACATGGCCTTTTCATTCCACCACATTTCCCCCTTTTCGTTTATTTTGAGCAACGGGAGGCATGATTCTTGGCCATACCACTGTTGACCCCATTTTCATGTGGTCTCCGTATGCGGCTGAGCATGTCTTAGGTTGGCCCCCAGAGGATCTTACCGTTGTTGACTAACCAGCCCTCAAAATGGGAGACTACAGGAGTGCTTGCTCAGGTGGGGGTTGGAATGAGGAACAATGGTTATCAGGAATGGCATGACCGCACACAGGCTGTGGGCTGTTTGAGTGGCTGACCAGAGCTAGTGGGGTATAAAACAGTAACAGATGTGGCTATAGGCCGTTCCTCAGGGTAGGATGATAGGGCAGGTGCATTTGCTAACAAGGCGGACTCTCAGTCTTGTTTGACTGGTTCTGGTTGGCTGTCAGTTGCAGGCTTGATGTTTCTGGCTGGTACCCAAATGGGCTGTCCCACATTCTCTGGAAAGACACAAGCATATCCTCGGCCCTTGGTTAGCAGAAGCCTTTCTACGGGCGTTGGAATCCAGGGCCTGAATTCTGCGTCTGCTCCTACATTTACAGCAAACGTGCAGGTGGGATGGGGTTTAGTGGCTCCCCTGAGAGCCTGGGGTTTCTGGGGACTGCCACAAATGTGGGGATCCTCACTGGATGCAGATGGGATGACCTCGCATGGGTTATTGCCTTGAGGTCAAATAAGTTCATCCCACGGGTATTTGGGGGGTGGCTGACTAGGCATTGCTGCGTTGTCTGCTGTCACAGCTCTCTCTCCCTAAGCCATCAACTGTTGCCTGTGAGGCAGTGGCCTGGAGTGACAGGCTCTTATCACTCACAGATTCACTATGTTTGGTAATATGTGTGGGTTTCCGAGAGGGGGTTATCTTTCCCATGTTGGAGCACTTAAGAGCAGCGTGCCATGCCAACTCTAGCCAAAGGAAAGACATGCACAGCACTGCTGCCATAACAAAGCAAATTCCTAGCACCTCAGCGGCTGATGGCATTCTGCAGGGGGTTCCCTACATTAGACGAACAGGCAATGGTGTATCAGGTTGTACGTATGTCCTGTGCTTAGTGGGGAACTTCCTTGATTAGTTAGGTCAAGGCCGTATGCCCACATGGTGTCTCCGGAGCATCACCTTTCTCGAGTGAGGGAAGATGACTTGGTTCCGAATTCTGGGATGATCAGTCCCTTATGTGAATTCGCAGGGAGAACCGAAAGTAAAAGGAGGAGCTGAGAAGCGGTGTATGCTTCTGGGCGGTGTGTGCCTAATCTGGGGTCACTTTGACCAAGGACAGGGACCAGGAAAGAGGCTTGGGGGGGGGGTTCTGTGCTCACTCTCACAGAACTGAACAGCACACAGGTCACCACAATAGCTCCCTGGTAAGGTGGACAAAAACCTGGGCCAGGCAGCTGCTTTTATAGGCCTGTGGAATTCTATAACCATAGGGCTCCTTATGAAGCCACAGTGTCTTGGCTTTCCATGCCTGAAGTGTTCT